TTGGAATTCTTCCTTCCATGAAAGTGAAAAGTCAGTTAACAAAGAATTATAGATTTCATTCCAACATCTCTTATGATGGTTCAGCTATGATGGTTCAATTAAAGAAACCTAGATATTGTTACCTGGCCCTGAATGTCTTACTGCAGCAATCACTAAGGTCTTGTTATAACATTATGTTGTAACATGTTATAGTATGCCAGCAGTCTTCACATTTACATGGGTCTCTAGTGAGAAATATGGATCAGCACTCTTGAATCACATCCTTGTGAATTCAAGCACTATTTTATCTGTGTTTTAGGGAGATTGTTACATTCAACAGCACTATGACTGCCAGAATGTACATTTTCAAGCAAAATGTGACCCACAGTTCCTGCAATATAATTGGTATCACCAACTACAAATATTCAAAATGCCATATTTAGCTTCTGGGTAAAACAGCAAGTGATATATGCAAACAAATCCACAATCTTGATGAGAAAAAAAATGGGGAAAACCAATTGCAATACAGATAATAAAAATTCCTTGGATTTGTCTATCATTACAACAGAAATGCTATCTAAAGAACAATGGAAATACAAAGAAAATGTTGATAGATTTTGATGGTGTATTACTTGATGGTGTAAAATGGTAAAATGTTGGATGGTATTACTGATGCTATAATACTGTAATAGTCTCAAATAGAAGGATGCTGCCTGAACTCACTCAACTGCAGCAAATGCTGCACTTTGAATATCACTTCTTCAGGGTCTTATAGTTGCTACTGTGACTATGTTGTTGTTGTTGTTGTTGTTGTTTTTGTTGTTGTTGTTGTTGTGTGCCTTCAAGTCATCTCCAACTTATGATGACCTTAAGGTAAACCTATCATAGGGTTTTCTTGATAAGTTTCTTTAGAGGGGGGTTGCCACTGCCATCCTCTGAGGCTGACACAGTGTGACTTGCCCAAGGTCATCGAGTGGGTTTCTATGGCTGAGCTGTGATTCAAACCCTGGTCTCCCAATGTCCTAGTATAACTCTCAAACCACTATACCATGCTGGCTCTCTACTGTGACTATACAGTCAGGTCTCCACATTTGCAGCTTTGATTTTTGTGGATTTGATTTGCAAATTTGATTAATATGTTCTCTCTAGGTATTGCTAGGTCCTTCAGAGAAATTCTGCTGGAAGTTGACTGTAGAGTTGCACTGGAGGACCTAGAGATTCCTAGAGAAAGCACTTCTCTAGACATTTGTAGGTCCTTCAGCATGATTCTATGATCAGATTCTGGCAGATGTTGACCATAGAATTCTGCTGGAAGACCTAGAGATATCTAGAGAGGTGTTCCCTCAGATTAAAAAAGTAGTCTATTTTTATTTACATCTTTTCCACTTTCACAGGGCGTCCTGTGCCCCTAACCCCAGTGAATGTGGAGGGCCTACTATAGTTTTCTTTAATTCACATTGGAATAGCTGAAGAATGTGGAATTGCTTTTATTTAAGAGTTAAAGCTTCACTTTAACTTAAACACTGAAAATATATGTGTATTTAATAGTTATTTGCATGATCTATCCAAAACAGTTTGTCTAAAGTAGTATTTTATGTATTAATGATAACCTTTCCTTTTTGCCCAAAGCAGAACATCAAGATTAAAACATTCTGTGTCTGAATGACTGTGTGACTGTGGTATGGGTAAATAGAAAGAAACATGCATTTTTGGTACCTATTTCATAAGTCAAAAAAACCTGCTACTAACTGCTATCAACCAGACATTTGGGGCCAATAACCAGCAATTTGCCTAGCAAACGAAAGGCTGGTGGTTGCCAGCAGCACAATACACTCTGAAAGTCTGGGTGAGAGTATGTGTAGCATGTAAGGAAAAAAAATCATATTCTAGTTATGTTTTATTAGGCCAACTTGAAGTCACAAAAGAGAGTGTAGCCTTTTGAGATCTCCAGGCGTTTGCAACAGGCAAAGCAGTAAAATGATGCAAAAAAGGGGGGAGCTGATGTTGAAGCTGTGAAATCTGAACTGATTGCAGTATAAGGATAGAAGGTGCAAGGGTTCTGTAGACATTCCAGCTGGATTCTCTTAAGAGCTGAGGTGGTTTGAAGTTATACCTAGGACTCTCCCAAGAACTGCTGGCGTGCTGAAAACAACAACCAAAGATTAAGTTCTCACATTTTTGAAAATATATAATGCAATGGTTATTCAAAACCATCTTCATCCTTCAGAATTACACACAGGGTTCCTGGTAAGTGTGTGTGTAGGTATAGGGGAATTACAGGGAAACAAGACAGTTTTTATATTAACAAGGCTAGAGATAGCTTTTAGAGGGTGTACTAGATTTTTAAAAGTCAATAGAAGCCAAATTAGTTAGCAAGTCTGAACTTGAAAACTAAGCAGAGTCAACTGAGGTTAATACTTGGATAGGACAACGTCAACAAATACCAGGGGCTGTAGCTATATTTCAGAGGAAGGAACTGGCAAAACCACCTTGGAGTATTCCTTCCCTATGAAATTCATGGGGTTACCGTAAGTCAACAGGCCACTTGGGGGCATATAAACGCACACTTACTAGTCTGAGGGGATATAAAACAAAGCTCCAGCATAAATCCTCTTCTTCCACTGGAGGATGGAAGGTTATTTGGTTAAATAACCAAATGTGGTATTCTCTAAGTCACACAAAGATTTGCCATGCTGACCAAAAGAAAATTAAATTTAAAAACATATTAAGGAATGCTTTTATTAGCCCAATTGAAGGCCACAAATTAACTTTTTGTCCTTTATCTATCATCTCGCTTGATGAAGAATTTTGGAGATAAATTTAGAGAATTTTTGCACTCTATTTTCTGATCTTTGGGGACTTGACCTGATAGGAATTTGAGAATTGGCTTGTGGCAAACAAGATAATGTATATCAAATATACATTCATGCCAAGAACTCTGGGGAATAGAATGGGGAGAAATGCAAACAAACAAAATCCTGTCACATGTGGTTCTGTTTACATCAGATTTCAGTGAGAAATTTGACAGAAGTGAAATTCCAGCTCATCTCTATGGTTCTGATACAACAGGTAACCATAGTAAAGATAATAATGTTTCCTATGGTCACCTACTGTAGTCTGCATTTTCTTCCTCCTCTTCTGAAGGAAACATTATGGCATTTGTAGCCTTAATGAATATTAAGAATGATGCAACAAAGTAAAGGATTCCCAACTCCATCATCATTAACATAAAGCCTCCAATCCAAGTAAAATTAGGAGTGCTCACAAAGTTCAATGGGAACTTTTGGAGGCATTCATGTATCTAAGGTCTTGTGGTGTCTTCCAACTCTGTGATTCTATGATTCTATGATTCCTCTGCTTTTAATCCAGAACAGTATTGTTTGGGTTGTCTTAAATCTCTCCAAACATTAACATATCTCGTAGATCCCTCCATTGGCTACCAGTTTGGACCAGGGTTTATTACAAGGCTTTGGTGCTAGTATTTAAGGCCCTGCACTATAACCTCCCCAGTATTTGGAAGTTCAGCTAGCATGCTATGTACCATCTAGACATTTAAGATGTGCAGACAAAGGATTATTGGCGGTTCCACCAATGTGTATGGCTTTGTCAAGGCTGCAAACCTTTCAGGATCTGGCTCTGCATTTGTGGAACAGTCTTCCTTTGGACTTTTGTTTTCGCAAAAGGTTGAAGACCTTCCTCTTCAATTCACCAGATTGCTGAGTTGCTGAGTGTGCCTAAGATTGCTAAAATGGGTAGTGACGGATAAGGAGTTGTTTTAATATATTAGCATGTTATTTTAGCATTTTTATTGCTTGTGTTTATCATCTGTTTGTTATTACATATATTCGATGTTCTGCCCTTTGGTGGAAAGAACATTATAAATAAGTGTTGTTATTATTGTTGTTGTTAACAGACTGGAGGCAGTGGCAAGCCCTGTATTTGTGTATGCACTGACCTTGGATAGTGTACAGGCCACCAGTGCTGTGCTGGCTGGTTCATCTGGGCTAGGTGGAATCAGACCAAAGAAAGATATTGGATTCAGAGGAGAGAAGGAGAAACCACTAGGAGCATTGCTGCTGGAGAAGAGACTGGAATGGTGAACAGAGGCAACTTCGATTATTCATTTAAATTGATAGTTATTTAACTTGGACTGTGGTGTGGGTCAGGGGTAGGCAACCTTTTTCAGCCCTGGGCCGGTCCCCCGAAGTCCTCCTCTCCACTGGGCCGAGAGGGGGAATGGCAGTGCGTGCTTGCTGCTACCGCCATGCATGTTGCAGCCACCATTTTGTTCTCCAAAATGGCGGCCACGACACGTTTGTGCATGTGCAGGAGTACTGTGCATGCGCAAATAAGTCACAGACACCATTTTGAACAACAAAATGGTGGCTGCAGCACGCACGGCCACACGGAGGCGAAAATGTGCTGCGGCGGCGGCAGAGGTCCGCCTGGGCCAGTAAGTCCGGCAACCTGGGCTGGAACTGGCCCGGGGGCCGTAGGTTGCCAGCCCCTGGTGTGGGTAGTAGCAATGAAAAGACTGGGGAGTTTTGGAGTGACAGGGGACTGATGTGTGAAGTGAATGTGATTATAATGGGTTTTGGGGTTGGAAAAGGGCTCAAAAAAGATTGTGCTGCCTCGTATGTAAAGTCTGAAAAGAGAATGAGCGAGTGAGATCATGTGAGAGATTAATGATTAGATGAATGAAGTGGAAAGTAGATAGATGGTTGGAAGAGGGCAAAATGTAGAAAATAAGGATTATTAATTAATTTTTGCTATTAGATGTTTAGTTCTGAAGAGAGGAGAAGAGAGCAGATTGGAGGCTGCATCAATGTGCTGCTATTGTATAATGCTAATTTTATATGATGAAATGTATTTATTTATAATGAAGTTTTATTTAATTAGAATTTCAGGTGGAAAAGAGGAAAGAGGTTGGCTTTTTGCTGATTGCATTGTGAGTGAAATTGTTTTCCTGATTATCAGATGGATTGGATTGGATTCTAGATGAAGAGACAATAATGATGTGTGCCATGGTGGTGTAGTGGTTTGAACATTGGACTACAACTCTAGAGACCAGGGTTCAAAACCCTACTTGGTCATGGAAACTCATTGGGTGACCTTGGACAAGTGACATTCTTTCAGCCTCAGAAGAAGGCAAAGTCAAACTCTCTTGGAACAAATCTTGCCAAGAAAACCCCTTTGGGAATTATTTGAAGGCATATAACAACGGTATATTAAGTACATGAAATAAATTGTTTGGGGTAGGGCAAGCAAAGAGACAAATGGAAGACAACTGGGTGGGAAAATGGACATTATAGGACAAGAAAGCTGATTGCTTTCCTGAGGAACAGGAGGAGGAGAGGTTGTTCTTGTTCTGATGGGAGAGTGAGAAGGACTAAGTGCAGTATATAAAATAATATTTCTTAGCAACATATTGGAAATGTTTATTGCTTAGTGTGCTTGCAACTCGGCCTTTTCCATCTTGTTGGGCTGTTGAGTGTATGATTTGGGGGTTTGCAGGTGCTGGAGATGATGGAGATGATGATGATGATGATGATATTTATTTATATCCTGTCTCCCACTCCCCAAAAGTGGAAATGCTCTTTGCTTTCTGCTATAGCATTGGCATAACCCTGAAGGTGGAGAAGTATAGGCTGTGATGTAACAAGTAAGATTCTCTTTTCTTTCACTGCCACGGTTCAAGACTCCAAAATGGTTCCGAGTGTCCTTGCTATTGATGTTTATTTTATTCATTGTATTCATTTATATCCCTCCTTTCTCCCAATAATAGGACTCAAGCCATCTAACAACATATTTAAAAACAATACATATTGAAAATTATACAGTCATTAATAAAAGTATAAATCTATAAATGTATAAAGTAAAACATTAAATCTTAAAAACATTAAAATTCATTAAGACACTGTGGAAAAACCTTAAAAACAGCACCATACACCATTAAAACCCCACCACAGTCAGTTTCTAAAAACCTGATGGTATAAAAATGTTTTGACTTGCTGATAGAAGGAGAGTAAGGAAGTGGCTATTCTGGACCTCTGGGGAGGGAGTTCCAAAGTCTGGGAGCAGTCTTTGAGAAGGCTCTTTCCTTGTTCGAATAAACAAGCCAGAGGTGGGACACAGGGAAGGGCATCTCCTAGGACGTTATCACACGTGGGCCAGAAA